AAATCATCTCGTGCTCTTCAGCTTTCGAATGAATCATTAAACGCGTGATTTGGATCAGCCATTGTGGCGCAATGGTCAAATGATGTATATAACTATAATGAAAGCTCACTATACCAAAGAAAAATTTATTATGTAAGAAAAAAATTTCTTATTATAATATTCCCTTTATATAATAAAATTCAGTTATTTAAAGCTCTTAATTCCATTTCTAAATGATTGAATTTTTCAGTTATTATTTGAGAAGCTCTACAGTCAAAGCTCTATATAACGATTCCTTTATATAACGAGATTTGCTTATTACGAACTTTCGAAAAAACCCTGACTATAATGAAAAGCATTTGTTTATAGCGATCTTCTATTTAACGCTCTCTTTAAACGATTTTTTTTTGAGCCTGAGCCGATCCATCGTTATATAGAGCTTTGACTGTAAGCAATTTGAAAATTTGAATAAGTGAGCATTTGAATAATTGAACTTTGCTATGTATTATCTATTTGTCTTATTCAATTTTCTAATACTATTAAGATTTTTACAATTTACTAAATGAGCATGACATAGAGCTTAATATTACTATTTGAATTTTCGGTTTGAACTACAAAAAATGAATTTCATTAGAACTTATTATTGGTTTCTTCAATCAAATCATATTCAATTTTATTATAAATCGTATTTATTATGAAAAATGGCTTATGATCTTTAAATTGGCCAACGCCGGGATAATATGCTTTCATATTTAATATAAAATTTTTTTTTTAGACTAATACACTATTACGTGATTAATAATGTCAGCGCCCTTACAGACCGGAAAAACGCTGATGCATATTAAATGACAATATAAATAAACAAAAACTTTTAGTCGTATGTTAGCATCAGGCTATTCCCAATTATGCAATTATGCTTTGTCACACGCTGCATGACATTATATAAATTCATATAATATATATAATATATATATATATATTTTTTTTTTATATTTATATATGTATATAAAAAGAAGACAGCAAGGAGATCGTGATTGATGGATGCGACACATTAATGATTATAAAGGACTTCTTTCCTTGAAATCTTCGTTAAATATAGTCTCATTGTCAAATCGTTCTATTCGTCGTTAATCATGCCATCCACTATCACTTTTCCAGATTACTCTCAACAACCGCCACTAGACATTGATGATATATCAAGTTATTTTGAATTTGAACAATTACCCTACTTTTTGATTCCAACCGATTTGTTATATTCGACCGATCTATCTTATTCAACCGATTTTTTAAAATACTTCGATTTGAAAATGAATGGTGTTGACCAATCTTCTTCCATGTCGTTGATGTCACTATCTTCGAACATTTCTCTTAATTTCGACAACGATAACGATAAGATTACACGATCGTGCTCTCCCATGTTACAAAATTCTTTTTCTACTACAAGTACCTTGATTTATGCCGGGATGAATAGTACAGCTGCAAACACCGCTGTTGATACAACTCTTCGTCAGCTACCATCTTCTTCCTCTTCGCTTAGTCTTCCAACTTTTTCTTCTATCAATCTGCAACAGGAAGAGCACTTGCAAACTTCGTCTTCCCCTCTAACAGCTGTTTCTGAAATTTGTCAAGAGCAAAAAGTGATAGAACAACAACAAAGAGGACAAGAAAAGACTGAAAGCAAAGAGTTATCAATACAACGAGAACAGCAACCACATTTACAAATATATCAAAATATTCCGGGTATTAATATTACAATGTCGTCAACCATAAATAACAATAATAAGAGTAATAATAATAATAATAATAATAATAATAATAATAATACAAACTCTCACGCTCCTACAAATTTGGTGGCAATAAATACGACGAAAACGCGATCATTTAATGATAATTTAATGACATTACAACAACAACAACAACCATCATCTAACAGCACACGTATGGATAACATGACAAATAATCTTTGGCAATTAATCACGTCGACTGGGGCGACAAATTCATCAAATAATTTGATAACTTCGAATACAACACCCTCGTTTGTTGAACCTCCATATTATAACTTTCAAACAATGCCAAATGCGCCTTCTCTGTCATCTTCGATTATCGCCCCATCTTCGCATTCGAGTAATTATTATCCATTTCGACATCCAAATAATCCATTGAATCAAAATTATATTATCAATACAAATCTAAATTCCTCTAGCTCTTCGGCGGCGGCTGTTGATAACGAAAACGACGACAACAACAACAACAACAATAATAATGCTAATGCTAATAATAATAATACTACTAATAATGATAATAATACTAATAACAATGACAACAACACCACAAACAATAATTCAGGATGTAATTCTTCAGCATCTCAAAAAATGAATAACTTTGGGACGAATCCTCCTCTATTATTATCATCATCGCAGACCAATGCAAATTTTACTGCCAATATTAATTTCATACCTCAGCGATATACGTATCATCAACAACAATTACAGCAACCACATCAGATGTGCCAATCTGATCAACAACATTTCGTTAACGTTAACAATAATACAAGTAACAATTATGATTTAAATACATCGGGTCTAATAAACCCACCAATTAATCTTTTACGTCCATTGACAACTACTTCTCCAATACAATCAACTGTATCTGAGACATTAAGTACGAATAAGCAAACATCACCACCTCATCATTATGCACCAATGATTAAATCTTGCTGGACACTTCCGAAACCAAATCTAAATACTGCTACAACTAATGGTAACTCGACTTCATCACAAAAAACCTCCTCGCCTAGATCTATTAATTCTAGCAAGATCAATAACAATAATGTTACTACAAGACCACAATTTTCTTACAGCGGACCACCAAAAAGCTACTATTCACGATTACCGTTGTATGATCGTCCTTTCAAATGCGATCAATGTCCACAAAGTAACTAGCTTCTTTTTTTTTTTGGAATGCATCATCATTTCCCAGCATAATAATCATCCGATATTTACTTACCATTTGGTTATTTTTAGGTTTCAACAGAAATCATGATTTGAAACGCCATAAAAGGATTCATTTGGCGGTGAAACCTTATCCATGTTTATACTGTGAGAAACAATTTAGCCGAAAAGATGCATTAAAACGACACATTCTTGTCAAAGGGTGCAAAAATAACGACAATGGCAGCAACAACGATGCTGTCAGCAAATAACCAGCTGGTTCTTTTACTGAAACTACCGAAAATCAAATTTATCGTGTTCAATCGTTCTAGTTCTGGCCAGCTATAAGAAAAAAATTATTTACAAAATCGCCACCAACCAAGCAACCCACAAAAGTACGAGATGTATATATTTTAATTAATTTTTCATCATCTTATGTTTTAATTATTTCGATATTATGTACATATTCACATCATCCCATTGATATATAACGTTATATATTATATCCACCCATTTGAATCAATTGAAATAATATTATTCTGATTTAAAGATTCCTTCTGCTCATAAATTCCGTAAAATGTTCAAGATTTCTTCGTTATGTCAAGTTATGATTTGACCAGTGCATAATCAATTCATGTATTATTTCGAAGTTATTTCTCTCTTATTTTTTCGCACAAAATTAAAAAGCATCAAAAAAAACCAAAAATAAATATATGTAAAACTACCCTAATTTTAGGGTAAAACAGAATCTGTCTCTTTATTTCGTGCAATTAATTTTGCTTCGCTAATGATACGTAAATTTTCGTTGATGCTTCGTATCTTCACAAAATAACAATATACACGTGTGTTTCATCCCTTTCTCCAGGTTTTGAAAAACAGGGCCTGAATACTTTTCTGAGGTACCGTAAAACGTTACATAAAGTTCCCTCCCCATTTTGAGTAAAATCAACCTATTTTCCTGCAGTTAATAAACTTAGCGCTCGCACGTTTATATTAAGATTCGCAATGATGATCAATTACAGTCGCAATAACTTAATATTTCGGAAGGTCCGAAAGGTAAAATAATTAAGTTTTATTTTGTAATAAAAATCTACACGTCTCCAAAAAAGTATATGCAGAAAGCTTGTTTTTGAGATATGATTTTTTTAACGCATTTCTAGATTGCACGGTTGCATACGTGTAAACATTCTCTCTAATTTCGAGTGTGCATATATATATATATATATATATGCAGTCACACCTCTATAAGAAAACAATTCTTTTTACATGCATCCTGCACTTGTTGAAATCTGGATTCGTCTTGGGGGAAAAATTTTTATTTACACAAATTTTCTATACTTGCATACGCTTTGTGCATGTGTTCATAAAACGCAGGACCAACTATCATTATAATCCAGCAATTGAAAAGCACGTTGGTATTAATTATGTGCAGTGCCCCCAGAAAGTATCGCCCGATTTACACGTTGATACAACGTCGCATGGATCGGAGCGATTCGGCAGGTTTCGAGAAATCTAATCACTTTACTTTCATAGCCCGCCTAGAGTCAGTCCTATCTAAATCCAATTAAGCATTTATAGGATGTTTTTGGTAAGGCGAATTCGTGCACTACCAACTCATCCCAAAAATCAAGAAGAATTGATAGATGCACTTTGCAGAGTGATGGAAAGAAAGTATGTCAAGACAAGAAGAGTGAAAGCTGTAATTGGCGCAAATGGGTTTCCAACTTGATATTATATTTTTTATTGTAAGAGTAATATGAATTAAAATCACCCAAATTTTCGTGATCTGCATTGCTGATTATTTCCCGAATCCCAAAAGAAACCGGAAAAAACATCTAAACCCTATTTTCGTGATCTGCATGCTGATTATTTCCCGATTCCAAAGAAATCACATGTATCACTCCACAAAAACATCCCATAAAAAAAAATTCTGGATAACAATATAACAATAGAATGCATGCACACTCGGTAAACAAAAGTAGCAAATATAGATCATGAAATTTATGATAAATAAATTACAATAAAAATATACATAATTTGGTATCGGGTTGGATTCTCATTTGCATCAATTACAGCTTGCACTCTTCTCGGCATACTTTCAACCAAATTTCTGGTTCAATTGCTTCCCATTCCTTCGCAAGTACATTCATCAATTCTTTGGACATTTACGAATTGGCCTTTCCATAAATGCTCAATTGGATTTAGATCAGGGCTCTGGGCGGGTCATGGAAGTGAAGTGATTAAATTTTCCTCTTTCCATTGACTTAGCTGGACCAAATCTGTGAACTGGAGTATTATCATCTTGAAAAAGATGAGAAATGGCAGAAGATTCTGTTCTATTATTTCTAGTGAGTAAAACATCCCCATACCATTACCTGATTTCATAGTAGGAAGAAGACATTCAACATCATATTTTTCATGTGGTTGGTGCAAACCCATTGCTGAGAATCATTTTGGAATATCAAGTATCTTGAAAACTACTAATTCTCATTCATTAATCCAATCTTTTCTTTCTAAACACCATTTTTAATCATTTTTGATGGTTTTCCACAAGATATATTATAAGGTTTTCTCAAAAAATCCAGATTCATGAAGAGTACGTCATTGAGTTCTTTCACTAACAGTTACAGTCATAGCAGTATTAAATTTTTTGATAATTTCAGCAACTGCTTGTTGTCAATCTTCTTTAACAATATTGATTAATCTTTGAAGGTTTGACATTGATTTTTTAAAATTTGAGATTTTAGCTTTCTAATGTACTATTGTACGTCGTTGTATCGTTTGAAATTACCCCTTAATTACGTCGATCATCAAACTTAATCTCGATAAACACATTGTTTCTATAATAAAAAGAACAGGTTTTTTTTATTTTTAAACTAGAATCTAGAACACACAAAGTGGGATTCCAATCTAAACCCTAAAAATCTGTCACATGAAATCATCCAATTTTCTGGGGATCACTTGATTAACTGCTGACTTTCTTTTTCACAACCGAGATTTCTGTTTGAAACGGAAAATCATTAATAACTCGAGACTTTACTAAGATAGTTGATCTTTGGTCTCCAGATAAAATTATTCAGCTGCGAATATACATATAACGGTGTATAATATAAATTTATAAATTTATACTTATTTTCTTTCTCTTATTATTTCTTTTTTTTTGTACACATATTTAATGAATATATTGGGTTTACTTTATATATCATACATGTACAGTATACCACTATCAACGTACAATAATATTACTAATCGAACTATACGATTGAATGAAGGAATAATGGAGAAAAAAACAACTTTGTTCAATACGAATATTATTATAACCAGATATATAGCTATGTACTCGTTTATGTAATTAATACGAACACACGATTTGTAATTTCGAGATTACTAAGAAAACAAATTTTCACGTTATTATTATTATTATTATTATTATTATTATTATTATTATTATTATTATTATTATTATTATCATTATTATCTCTACTATATGCGCATAAATTATAATGTGTTCTCCTTTGAGATGACAATTTATACTACTTTCCTTATTATTATCGCAATTTAATCACAGTACTTGAACATATTGTTAACAGAAAATCACCTGTTATATCAAAAGCTAATAAATTGACATTCACCTACAAGGTTGTATCATTTATGGTAGTATTTATTAGAAAAAAATTCATGATTCACATTATAAGGAATTTAAAAAAAGTGTTGTCATGCAAATCATTGACTATGTTATCAAAACGTATAATAATATCCAGCACCGAGTATGCATTTGATATTATAAACATGGTGTGATGACTGTCCCAAGGAAGCTTCTTCTGAATGATGGCTTTCCCAACTAGATAAATAAACGTATAAAATAGTGATTCGAAATCATCCTTTTCCTCATATTCATGTGAGACATTTGATTTGAAATAATCCGTGAATGATTTCTGGTTGTTCTCTCCTCTTCTACATGATATACCAGTCAATAATTCGTATACGATCAGTAGAATCGATTATTAAGTTATCATTAGAACAGTCGCTATGCATTATTTCTTGCACATACTGGGAACCAATATCAACTTTGCCAAATCCACTCTGTCAATTTGTCAAACTTTTTATCATTCTAAGTCATACTTAATGCCGAGGTTATAAGAATACCACGTGAATATAACAAAAGTGCATAAGAAGAACCTGTTGACATGACTAAATTAGCAACACCATGTAATCTGCTTGTTCATGATGTAGGCGATCTGAATTTTCCACCAAGTTTAATAGCCTATTCCACCGTCTCATTGTGAGTCATTCTATCCTTTTGTCTAATTCCGAGGCAGATAGAGGGATAATTACCATACTCTTCCTTTAAAATTATTGCCTTATTTATCTATTCACACATTTTGTCCATTCTTGTAAACAGATAAGGCGAGTTTGGAATTAAACATGGTATAAATCCCAAACAGGCTGAAGGTGATTTCAACAATCTGACCAAAAGACTATATCCTTTCTCACCTGGTGTTCCATTAGGAGCAAGAGTCCAGTTCTGTAATGTAAAAGGCCGGTGCGCTACTTTGAACTGTCTTTATAATTTTTACATATCGGCAATCCAGAACAATGCCAAAAACAAAGCTTTCTTAACCGTTGCTGCTTCAAAATTCCCATATATCTATCACAGACTTGACACACCGCATCTTTGTGACTTGTCGTGCTTTTTTCTTCTATCACTGTTACCAAAATCTGTTCATAAATGATACCATCCTTGCGCACAATAATGAAATCGATCTTTGCATTAGGATAACAGATCGAGGAGTTGCGGATGTCATAAAAGTCGAATTCAGTTAATGGAATGAGAAATTCTAGAAACTTCTTTATTTCATCTGTTTGATTGCTTTTATCATTATCAGACGGCATCGTAATCGCGAATGAAGATATCTCCGTCCAAGATATTCCATTGAAAACTGCTTCTTCATTAAGCGTTTCAGGATCTTCCAGATCTAATATACCAAATTTGTGATATGAGAGAGATATATTACAACCCATATTACTATGTCTACTCTAACTTATGTACACACTACTCTATGTCCCAAACGCCCGAGTCACAAAGTCGTTACCTGTCTGAAGAGCACATAAATTTTCTACCAATTTCTTCACATCTGCTTCCCGTGACTTCCACTTGCGCTCGCCAGAACTTCTTATTCTCTTTGTCCGTAGCAGCATCTAACTTCTCTTTTAGCTTATTATGTCTCATACTATACACGACAGTCACACCGTTGCAAACCCATCAATAAACGAAGAAAATTTTTTAAATAGTCATGTGATTAGCTAAAAATCATGTGATAAACATATATATATCGATATATTAACAAATCATTATGGTGACGTCAATATATCGCGTTCTAAAGTTACTGGATTTTTAAGTTTTTTTTAAAAATTTCGCGTAAATCACTTTATATCGATATTGATATGAATTATCGATATTGATATGAATTATCGATATTGATATGAATTCTTAATATAGAACTTGTATATCAACTGATCTGCCAACATTATAGAATTTTGGTGTAGCGGTTATTAATTTCAGCCAGAATTATATGTTTCAAATTCCTGATCTAGATATCCATCCAATTGTAATAATCTCAACGTCAGATTATAGTGCTAATTTATTGGATGGGGACACTGATATATCATGATATCGGTATAAAACGGAATTTCGAGACAAAACGGAATAAAATGGAATAAATCGGGATAAAAGGGTATTTTTATAGATATATACATATGTATTATAAAAAATCGTTTTATAGTTATTGAATGGTTATTCCATCTTATTTTATGAATAAAAATTTTATGAAAAACGAATAACTGCATATAGTTGCGCACAAGAGTTTTCTGAAGATTTTCGTTATAATAATGGAATTTTATCACATTTATGTCGGTTTGTAGTCACTCAATTAAATGGGAACATAAAAAAACTATTATTCGCATATTAATACAACAGCAAGTCATAAAACATCATAATCTTGTACAAATAACACAACAAACGTTAAATTCGATACTTAATAATAATGTATCTATGACACTTTTACAAGAATGAACTTAATTTAAATGAAGTTGAATCGATTTTTGGAACAAAATTTCATATCAATTTTTTTTTTAGTTACCATTTTCATCATGTAATGTAGAGTAGGAAAATGACAAGCACCGAAAATAAAAAACCCCAATAAGAAAATCTTTGATATTTTTTATATTTATTTTTGCCGGGTTGATCAAAAAATTTGCGTATTTCTATTTTGGACGCAATTTACCATCATTCGGTTCATCTAATTACATGTATCATATGATCACGAGATTTGATATCAAAATAAGAAACCGGACGATCACAAAAATAGGTTTCTTATTTTCGTCATTAAGAATTAAAGCATCAATATTATCGTTATGCATTGTCTTAATAAAAAGTTATATCTTGATTTTGACAATTCGATTCAAAAATGACAAATCGGCAAATAATATTGAGCCACATCACAGCCACAAAAAGTCATTTTTTGGCTACGCTGATTTATTCTTAAAAATCACATGAACCGTGATTTTTTTCGCCATGGCTAGGGCACTCGTGGCTTAATCAACGGATGTTGGTTCGATCTCATTTCCCTCCTTTGAGTGCATTTCAATAATATTTTCATCGTTTCATTTCGTTCTTGCGGAGGAAATTTGCACCATAGATAGACAAACCAATTTAGTATATAAACATACTTTAGGCATTTCACTTTCATTGGCCGTTTAAAGGTTTTATCTAATTATAAATGGATACCAATTAACCGCATCAATAGATATCTGAGCTATAGGGTAATCCCGAATGTTCATAAACCCGAATGATCGAAATTCCGAATGAACGGTATCCCGAATATCAAAATCTCGAAAGATCGTGATAATTTTATTATTTCATGCATTTTAGGATGGATTTCGGTCTTTCGGATTCCGTTCATTCGGTATTTCGTTCGTTCGGGATTTCGAACTATAAGGTAGAATTACCGTTTGGCACTGTATATAGTATCCCTCAAAATAATATCCTCTGTAATTAGACCTGGATACTTTTCACTATTATTTAATTTTCAAAAGTCTTAAATGTAATATACTAAACGATAATGATATTATTATTTAGTTTCACGTATTATTTCCCCCGCCTGCTCATAATATCAGTTTCACGAATCAATTCCATTATCACTTTCGAGATTTTCTCCCTCTTCTACAATCCCAATTTCAAATTTTTTTTCTTGTAATTTCTCGAATTCAAGAATTAATTATCTGAACTATTTGATTTTCGCAACATTAAATGATCGCTGGATTGATTGCCGAACATAGATTTGAATTTGAATTAGCACGCTGATTCTGCAAACCAAGACCTGTTATAAGAATTGAATTAGTTGATGTTTCACACTCTTTAACAGTTGTAAATTAAATGACAGAGAAGTTTTTCATCTATATTTGCAATGAATAATTATATTCAATTCGTTGAGAAATAGTAAAATTTTGCTGTTTTTCAAGGTAGTCGTTATGCGAAAATTGATATTTATGAATACTTGGATATATTCTTGTTTTTGGCTAAATCATGAGCTTTTGCATCAACCATTCATCAAGTCACAATTTTTAATTGTCGATATAGTTCACAAAGATATCACCAATATTCAATTTTGAATATATGAAGCTACACCCCCAAATATAGTCTTCCACATGTAATACCACAGGAACTATTTAATTTAAATAGTATAAGTTTTGAATAAGATCCTGGATACTATATATATGTCAGATACTGTATCTTGTGTATGGTCTTGTTGCTTTAACATGAGAAAAAAATATGACATCAGACCAAATTCGATATTTTATTATATAGCAAAAATGAGATAACCGATTCCTTGTTTGAGAGGTAAAACATTGGGAGTACTAGCGAGTTATTAGCTGAAACATTTTTCCATGGCATCATATGATGGTAATTTTACACCTTTAGGTTGTGCAATGTTCTCGGCATATTTTTTTTCGCGCTCTCTTCGCAAGTGTGTTCTTCTGTCAAATGTCATCCTTGGTCATATTACTGTTGAGATTGACCGGGAAAGAATTCCCAATAGCGTCTCCTAGAACGAGGAAAAATACCTGTTTGTATATACAGTCGACTCTTTCTATAACGAATTGGTGGCTCTGTTAAAAAAAAGTTCTTATACAGTGGCTGCCAAAAGTTTTGCATCACACGAATAAAAAAATAAAAAATGCAATATTTTATGTTTCATATGTTATT